CAGTTCTCTGAAGGAAAAAGCTTGTGCACCGTCCTGCCTCCCGTCCCTGTTCTATTGTCCCCATTTATATGTACCTATTTCCTATATTCTTACTCACGTTTATACTTATGCCTATTATCTTGTAAGTGATTGACAAATCTAATAAATATAATAAATAAATGTTAAAACCCTGAACTTCAGATTGTACATCACCTTGAATGTGGTTTAAAAGACGTCGTCATTTCAGAGAGAGAGGGTCAAGGGCCCCCTTTTCCCCCCTCAAGGATGGAGCTCAGCCGTTGGCCTTTCCGCCTCTCTTGCTGTCCTGAATCAACCCCCAGTGGCTGAACAAAAACCAAAGCATCATCCGGAGCTGCAGAATGGCCGCCTGGCCCTTGGAACAGCTGCCCTTCCAACGCGTCTCCCGCGTTCACTAAAGCAGGTCGCTCTGCTTCACCCCCTGATCAAAGCAAAGGCCCCGGAACTGCCCTTTTACTTTGGGGCCTCCAAGACGGGCCTGACTCCTGGCAGCTGCCTGACTGGGCCCTGCTGCTTTCCTAGCAGGACTTTTGCCCTTGCCTTCCTCTGCAGAGACTGGCAGGGAAAGAGTGGCCCCACCCCACCCCTCAGGCCAGCTTGGTCCTTCAGCCCCCACACCAAAGGGGCTGGCTGAAGCCTCTTTTCAACCAGAATAGAGCTGGAAGGGACCTCGGAGGTCTTCTAGTCAAACCCCCTGCTCAAGAAGGAGACCCTAGACCATTCCAGACAAGGGACTTTCCAGGGATGAAGTACCCACAACTTCTGGAGCAACTTCTGTTCCACTGGTTGATTGTCCTCCCTGATGGGAAATTGCTCCTTAATTCCAGGTTGCTTCTGGAAAAATTGGCATTGACCACTCTGTTGCTGAAGTCGTATTTCCTGCAATCAAGTTTGGTGCTGTTTACCTTGAGTTTGTATCTATTGTGTGCTCTTGTGTTGTTATGGTTGAAGTATTCATTGACAGGTAGGACATTGCAATGTATGGTTTTATATACTATACTTAGATCGGACCGAAGGCGGTGTAGTTCTAGGTTTTCTAGGTCTAGAATTTCAAGTCTGATGGCATAAGGTATGAGTAGATACCTTATGCTATGAGTAGAGGAGTGGAGAATTCTTCTTGTGAAGTTCACCCTGTTCACCCTGTTTGATCCCCAGACTTTGTGCATTTGTATATATTTGTATATTTTTATATATTTGTATATAGGCACTGGAGATCTTTATGTCTGACACTGTGTTTACTGTCTACATAACCTGTGTTGTGCCTGCCTGCCCCTACTTTCTTGCCACCTGTTTGATTAATGCACATGGTATAGCATTCACTATTAAATACTTGGTTTTGATCGATAGCAAGGTTGGTAATCTTACCTGCATAAATTTTGCATGCACTGGTATCCTTATTAATTTTAGATTGCTGGGGACAGAAATGTTCTGTATCCATTAATTTTCTGTCCCCACTGTTCAGTTTAAATGTTTATCCAGGAAATCTGTGAATTTAATGTCAAGTAACTCAGTCCCTTTCTTTTATGGATGCAAATAATCTCTTTTGTAGTTTTTAATTGGACCAGCTGCAGACATCATGACTAATAAAACCAAAGGCTTCCCTTTTACACCACTCCTTTAGCCACACATTAAACTCCGCTACACGCTTGTATACTGGTAGAACCTCTGAAAAGATAAGCCTACAGCCCATATTACTAAGTTCATACCCCAAGCTCTGGAAGTCTTTCTGAACAGAAAGTACATCCTTCAGGGACAGATCATTTGTACTAAGATGTATAATAGCATCAACATCACAGTCCTTACTGGCATTCTTGACTATCTTAAGAATACGTCTCTTGTCTCTCTGTTGGCAGATGTTTTTTTTATTATCTTTTCCAGTATCTTTCCAGGTATTGATGTTAGGCTGATTGGTCTGTAGTTTCCTGGGTCTGTTTTTTTCCCCTTTTTTTTTTGAAGATGGGAACCACACCAGCTCTTTTCCAGTCCTCTGGTAGTTCCCTGGTGCTCCAGGATTTTTGAAAAATGTGGTGTAATGGTTCTGAGATGACCTCTGCCAGCTCCTTTAAAACTCTAGGGTGTAATCCATCAGGTCCTGGTGATTTGTGTTCATCGAGATCACATAGGTGCTCTCTTACTATTTTTTTGTTTTTTGCTTATTTTAAATTTTGTTTCTAGTTTGTCTTCTAGTTATATTATTGGTAGGTTAAGCTATAGTTTCTTTTTGCATGAGGACTGATGCATAGAATGAGTTAAGCAACTCTGCTTTCTCTCTGTTGCCTGTTACTTCCTTGCCGTCTTCTCTCTTTAATGGACCAACTGGCTTTTTTCTTGTTATTTATATGTTGAATGAAACTTTTTTTAAAAATCTTTGACTTTCATTGCAAATATTTGTTCATTCTGAGCCTTTACTTTCCTGACTTCATCTTTGCAGATTCAGGTTACCTGCTGATATTCTGCCTTAGTTGTGTATCCCTCTGCCCACTTTTTGTACTTCTTTTTGTCTTTCAGTTTATCAGAGACCTTTGTGCAACCATACAGGCTTCTTCTTGGATTTCTTGTTTTTCTTTCTCAATCATATTGTATTGGACTGGTGATCATATTTTTATGAACATATTTTTCAGTGTTTCCCACACTTCTTGAGCTGTTTTCCCCTTCAGAATTTTTATCCATGGAATTTTTCTTAGGTTCTGAGTTTGTTAAAACCAGTTCTTTTAAAGTTTAAGACACTAGTTGGATGATATTCTATTGCTTGCGTTTGCATTATATTGAATTCCAATATGATGTGGTCACTCTTGCCCAAAGTTCTGGCAATTTCAAGAGGCAATTTCTCTCTATCACTTCTTCTCTATTGGCAAGAATTAGATCCAGCAGAGCTAGTTCCCTCCTCTGCCTTTTGGATGACAAAGTTGTTGGCTGAGTTGGTTAGGAATCTGTTTGATCTCCCACTTGCTGTCTCCCAGTTGATATCAGGGTAGTTAAAGTCTCCCATTACTACTGTGGTATGTTTCCTACCTACATTTGCTAACTGATTAGCAAAGAGTTTGAGGGAGCAAACACAACTGGCACCCAAAGAGATGCAGATATAGGCCATGCCTTGAATTAAAGATGGTGGGGAGAAATGGATCGGACATGTGGCCCTTGTGGGGGGGGTCTCCCATCCCTCTGGGCAGAGAAATTGGGTCGGTGCAACGGCTGTGAAGAAAGGACAGTTATGGACTTAAATATATCAGTAGAATATGGTAGGTTTCTGTTTGCATGCTTTTTTTAAATTAGAGAGCTATGTTACAAAATCTAAAAACTAAAATTGATTACATAGAAAATGTGGAATAAGAAAATAGGAATTGATCAATATATTTATGCATCTTTTAGTACATCTTAAGGACAGTAAATGATCAGCAGACTAGCCAAGGTTACAGAACAATTATTCCAACTTCATTACAAATATTCTTAAAAGACTAGTTTCATTGGACATTGTTAGTAATATGTTCTACATAGTTTGCAGGCTATCTAAAATGTTTCCATTGTTAGAATATAATTCTAGTATTTGTATTATAATATACTGCATGTTTGTCCGCATTTGTCGGGGTGTAAAAAAGTCAAGATAGCAGCCACAGCCACGTCATTACGGCCCTGTCCTTTTTATGTCCCATGATGATCTCCAGACTGTGGACATCATCTTGACTTTTTTTTTGCCTTCCTGCGAACACCCTGATGGACTGTCCACTGTCACTGCAGGAGCAGTTCTTGGTGACCTAATGAAATTCTCTGCCAACGCCTTCCCAAGAGATTCATGGAGACTTCCAGAGTTCTAAAAAGATTTTCAAAAATGTTATAAGTGATAAGATTTTCTTGAAAGAAGATACAACTGCTTCAAAGGTTACTGTAAAAAAAGGTCAAGGATTTCCCTGTCCAGTTGTCCAACTCCAGTGGACGGTGCTCATCTCCATTTCTTAGCTGAGGGAGCCAGTGTTGTCTGAAGGCACCTCTGTGGTCATGTGGTCAGCCTGATTGTAGACCGAGGCACATGGCACCTTCCCGTCAAAGTGCTACTCACATTTGCCTGCGTTTTGCTAGGTGGGCAGGAGAAAGTTTATTGGTCTTTTAATTTGCAAAAAACAAGCGAAGAAAAATCAAGTTGTATGAGAGGTGTATGAAGAGCCTGGTAAACCTACTGATGCATGAGGAAGAATCCAAAGTAGCCAATAATGCAATATTTAAAACTCACAAACATACAATACATGCCCTATTGAAGGGGTGGGTTTCTACCGGTTCTGTCCACCTCTGTAGAACTGGCAGCTCTGAAGAGCAGCAGACACAGAACCTGTTCTATATCTACTGATGTTTTTGCCTACCCGCCCACCCGGGCTCTTACCTGATCTTTATTTCCTGATTTTTCAACTTCAGCTGCCGAACGAGACACAGCTGCAGTTAAAAAAAACAGGAAAAGAGGGCTGTTTCAAAGGCTGCTTCTCTGCACGCAGCGTGCTGATGATGATTTACAAGTGCACGGCTCTCAGCGTGCAGGGAAGCACATCATAAATCACCGAACCTCATAAATCCCGAACCGGTAGTTAACCCTGTCATATCCCACCCCTGCCCTATTGCCTGGATAGAGTCGTGGTGGTGCAGTGGTTACAATGCAGTATTGCAGGCTGATTCTGCTGTCTGCCAGCAGTTCGGCAGTTCAATTCCCACCAGCTGAAGGTTGACTCAGTTTTCCATCCTTCCAAGGTTGGTAAAATGATGAGGACCCAGATTTTTTTGGGGGTGGGGGGTGGCGAGAGGCAGACTTTGTGAACCACTTAGAGGGCTATGAAGTGCTATGAAGCGGTATATAAGTCTAAGTGCTATTGCTACATTCCTCTAAAAGTTGTGATCCGACCCAGGCTAGCCTTCCCAACCCGTGTCTGCCTTTCTCTTATCCTCAGCCAATAAGGATGCTTGCTGGAAAGGAAGGCGCCATTGCTCAAACCTTTTTGATAGACTCCAAATTAATAAGCTTGTGCCCCTATGGGGAAAGAGGCTGCTACTTGCCAGCTTTACAAAATTACTTTGAAACATTTTGAAAATAAGACTTTGATGGGGATGATCATGACCGTTGTGGAGAAGAAGGAGAGTGGCTTTATGGGAGCCTTGACCTTTCCTATGGGAAGACACACGGTGCAGGGGGGGAACGAGCAGGAGCAATCCGCAAGTATAAAAACACCTTTTTCCGATGAAACCCTGGAAGCATCCTGTCCATCCATCATGATGGCAAGGGAACTGTTTGTCTCTTCCTCTTCTCTTTGACCATGACCGCATCATAATAGCCTTGGAATTTGATACAGAAGAAGGGAATCGGGATGATAATGGTCAGGACACCGCAGAGTGCTGCGCAGGCGCCAATCATCCTACCAACCAGAGAGATGGGTACAATGTCTCCATAACCTACAGTAGTCAAGGTGACCAGCGCCCACCAGAAAGCTGAGCCAATGTCCCCAAACTGCGTATCTGCGTTATCTTCTATTACGTCTACGAAATAACAGAGAGAACCAAAGAAAAGGATTTCGAAGAGTAAAACGAGGAGGAGGGTGACGATCTCCCTGAGGAGGGCCCGGGAGGTGTACGAGAGCACCCTCAGCATCAGCGGGGTCTCCACCAGCTTGAGAACCTTCAAGAGCTTGAAGAAGTACGAGGCACGCAAAAAGTCCAGCCAGAATAACAAACGCCGATGGCTTGCGGGATGCCAATGCAAGGGAAGCTCGATGTAAACGGGGAAGAGGCAGAGAAAGTCGGCCACGTTCAGTGGGCTTTGGAGGAATTCCTTCTTCTTTGGGCAGGAAAGGAGTCGCAAAAGAAATTCAAGCATGAACCAGAGGACGCAGAAAAGTTCCGAGTGAAGGAGGAAAAGCGGCTTGACATAAAAGAAACCGTGAGCTTCGGTGCGAAGGACTGAAGTAGGATTGGTCTGGTTTTCCAGGATGTAAACAGGGAGAAAATGGGTGTCTTCGAAAGCTTTGGCAATGAAGAGGCAGCAAATCCCTATATTGAAGAGCAGACACACAGCAGCCAAGCCCTGGGGGGGAGGGGGGGGAGAAGAGGGGAAGTCAGGAGGACGGACAAGTTGCTTTATCAATCCAATATATACGCCGCTCATCTTACCTTCCCTCCACCCTGATATTCCTGAATACCAGGACGGCTATGCAAATATCCTGTGCCTAACGCCAGCTATGCCAGTGACTTAAGTTAAAGGGGCTCAGCTTTTAGCAGACCAATCCCCCCTCTCTGAATCCAGGGCATAGGAGCGAACTGCCTGAAACTAGAACCCCAGGGGATGTGACCCCCTCATTCTCTTAAAATGCCTTCATAATTCAACCTCGAGAAAAAGTCCTTGCCAGAAACCCCCCTAAACTCACCAGGGGGGGGGGGCTCCTGTCATACCTGGAAACTGGCTGGCCAAAGGTGGGTCTGAATAGCCTCTCTCTAACATCTGGTTCCCCCCTTCTTTCTATTCATTCCCATCCATAATCTCAGGAAGGGCCTCCTCCCAGGCACTCCCTGGAGAATTCCTCCTTCCCCTAGAAAAATTCAGGGAAAAAAAATATGTCTGCCCAATTTCTCTGCACATGAACTTGGGGAAGATTTTTTTTTTTTTAAACCCATCTCTGGCCAGCTTTGTCTGAAAAAGATGAGGCACTGGAGGAGGCCGGAGGGAGGCTATGTCAGCGTTGCATCCTTAACAGGTTGATTTTTCACCCCGCGGGGAGCTCATCCAATCGCCATTCTTTACTTTTAAGATTTACACTTGACGTGCCCTGCTCTTCATCCCTGAGCCTCTCCTGCAGGTCTTCAAGGCCAGAGAAGCAATGACACTAAAATGGCTGCCCTCCAGCTGCCCTTGGAGTGGACTCTCCCTGCAGGGGGACCAAGGGCTCAGCACGGTTCTGAAAGGGGGACTGGCTGCTTCACGCTTAGAAAACGGGTGGGTGCCTTTGGCTTAGCCTCGGGCCGTGGCCCCGGAAGCCCTGGGAGGCCGAGAAAACCACTCAGGCCAGACTGCAAGGAGCACATGCTGCCCCCCCCTCCAAACCCCCAGCTGACCTTTGCACTTAAACTGGAGAAGGGCTTCTCAAACATGGCCCAGATTCTGGTCCGCCATCGGCCCCTCCCGGCGCTCTGGTTCCTTCCCGCCTGGTCCAGGAGCCCAGCGACCTCTTGCTCTTCCTCCCGGATGCCATACTCTTCCTTTTGCCTCTCAGCGATGGTCAATTTCTGCCAGCAGCAGGGTGCCAGGGGGGCGTTGCTGAGCCCCCAGAAGGCCAGCTCCTCATCCAGGGCTGACTTGCAGGTCAGGTCAGGGCAGTGGAGCTGTTTGGTTCTGTAGTAGTTGAGCACGTCCTCAAAGAGGCAGGAACTTCTGTCAAAGAAGAACTCCTGGGTGTCCGGGTCACAGTCAAAGGTGGCGGCTGCCTGGGGCTCCGTCAGGCGACATAGCTTGGTGCCAGGGAAAGCCTGGAGGGTGCTGGCATAGGTCTCGTACCGGAGCCCCCCAATGTTCAAGAAGATCTTTTCCTCCATTGGTTTCATCTCTTGCAACTAGCTGCCAAGAACAGGAAAAGGTCTGTCATCGTCATCATCGTCTACAACGGTGATGGCGAACCTATGGCACGCGTGGCCCAGGTGGCACGCAAAGCCATTTGTGCCGGCACGCAAGCCGCAGGCAAACTGACCTCGCTGCACATGCATGCACCTCCCAGCTGATTTTCAGCCTGTTTGAGGCCTTTTTCAGTCTCCCAGAGGTCTGCAGCCTGAAAAATAGGCCTGTTTCGTCACTTCCTGTAGTTCTGGAAATACCGGAAGTGACGAAACAGGCTCATTTTTCGGGCTGCAGAGCCTTTCCTCAAGCCTCTGGGAGGCTGAAAAAGGCCTCAAATGGGCTGAAAATCAGCTGGGAGGCGCAGTGCAGGTAAGGGGGCGGGGGGGAGATTGCGCGCGCATGTGCAGGGGGCTTGGGTGGGCGCGCATTGCCTTCTGGGTGCTGGCGTGTGAGTGCGCACGCGTGCAAGCACACAATTTTTGGCATAGGAGCCCCCAAAGGTTAGCCACCACTGATTTATTTATTTATTTATTTATTTATTTATTTATTTATTTGATTTGCCAATTGTTTACAAGATAATAAGTATAAGTGTATACATAGTTGTGAATACATGAAATGGGTACATATAAGAACAATAAAAGAAGAATAAGAGAAACAATAGGACAGGGACGGTAGGCACGTTGGTGCGCTTATGCACGCCCCCTACAGACCTCTTAGGAAAGGGGTGAGGTCAATAGTACAATATTCATCTACAATATCTACAATATTCATCTGGGTGATGAATAATCTATGATCTACAATATTCATCTGGGTAATAGCCGAGGCTCCATTATCCAGTGATTTGGTATTATTGTCATTATTGTTACTATTATTAAGAACCCAACCCTTCAGGAGAAAAGCGATGGGAGGCTTCCGAAGACTAAACAGGCTGGCCTTGTCCGGCTCGTCGGTCGCCTCCCTTTCGCCTCGCTAGGCTGAGAAGAAAGGGACAAGGGTCCTTCCTACCCTGGCCCCAACTGGGCAGACAGGGGAGCAGGGAGTTGGTGGGTCTCCTTGTGCAACCCTTTCCTCCCTACCGCTCTGCTCCTTTTCGGATGGAGGGAGATCAAGCCAAACAACATGGAAGACAAGTCTCAACGTCACACATCTAGCAACTGTATTAACTCAACAGGCAGTTACTGAAGCAGCGGGTTTTAGATGGGTGGCTTAGCATATTACCGCGTGTTGCTTCCCCCTCCCAACCTTTCCTAGTTAAGGTGGGACTTGTGCAGTTCACCACGACACGGTGTGGTGTCCCCAAACCTTTAGAAGGAAGAGGTTGTCCACGAGACCAAGGGACCGAAACAGCCCCCCACCACCACACACCTCCTTTGCCCTTCATCCTTCATCAGCACCCTTCTCTCCAGTTGTTTCTTGACCAGTAAAACCAGCGGCCCAGAAGTATGCAGTAGAATATCAAAAGAATTTAGCCCCTTAGATGAAGAAAACGTTAACTCATCTGATTCTTTCCAGTACCTGACAACTGTCCTTTGGATGGCTCTTTCCAGCTGCGGAGCCCAAAGTAATGAGCCCAGAAAGTAATTTCCTCAGAAAGATCCAGGCCGAACATGAAACCTGGATGCCCCTTTAATTCTCTGCCCAGGAAACGAGAATGATTTGGAAAATGAGGATTCTTTTTTTAAAAAAAAAAAAAATTAACCCTATGCATGACATTTCTGGAAATTTTAAGCAAATATTTCCATACCCAGCTGAGTGATTTATTGAAAATTATAAAAGTCAGAAAAATGAATATATGACCATGAGAAAAACAAGAACAAGCATTCACTTCTGAAGCGCACAAATCCCACACAGGAGAGTGAAAAGTTCCTGGTTGTAATGAATTGTTAAATTAATTGTCCGCCAGTTTCTGCCCAAACAGAAATGGCAGGAACAACTCGAGCCTTCCCCCCCCCCCCCCCCGTCCCACCCAAGTGAAAGCACCAGACCTGGGACCTTCTTGGACAAAGGCTGCTGAGCCCCTGGAATCGGTTGCAGGTCCCTCTTCACCGACACCCAAGGATTCCCCTTTTCAGCTGCTGCTTCCTTCCCCAGCTCTGCAGAGGCCCCACCAACCTTCTCATTCGCTTTTACGGTTTTACCTTTAATCTTGTGTAGAGCAGTTTTGCAGAGGGCTTGGGGAAAGTAGCCTGCAAACGGAGGGAGAAAAAGAGGGGAGGAAAACAGGATGTGCTTGGGCTCAACTCCAACTCACAGAGGCCAAAACACAAAAGCAGCCTATAAACAGAGGCACCAGAGGGATGGAGGGGGGGGGGGGGGGGGGGGGGGGGCGGGGGAGGGGAAGGGATTGCATAAGATCTCCTCATGAACAGCTCTGTCCCTTCTGTTGCTTTGGCAATAGCAGAGAGATGTTCTTCTGTGTTTCATCTTTTTTCATTTTAATTTAAAACAAAACAAAACACACACAGACAGATGAAGAAGAACCAACTCTATTTTCTTTCCAAAGCAAATGTAGTTAAAGGATGAATGATATAACCTGACTCCATAATTATAAGCATCTTTAGAAAATGGCAATGAAAACTCGTCCGCGGCTATTCTAATAGGCCGTTATCACCCCCGCTCTTTGACAGCGGCCAAGAAGGGCGGACAATTAAACTTTCAGCCCAACTCAAGCTGACAAAGAAGGGGAGAGAATATGAAGCCTCTGCTTCCTGGTGCCCCGTGGACCCAATTTCTCTGCCCAGAGAGAGGGGAGACCAAAGGCCCATGTGTGGGGCCCATTTCTCCCCACAATCTCCAATTCAAGGCTCAGCCTGTCTGCCTCTCTGTGGATGCTGGTTGTCTTTGCTTGCCCCCAAAGCAGCTCCAGCCGGCCCGTTTGGCCTCCCTGAAGGACCAGCACAGAGTCCACCCATCCTGCCCAAGACGGGCAGCCCCCCCCCATCGCATCCAGGTGTTGATGGCAGGGAAATGAACGGGGAGGCTGATCAGAGGCGGCCGAGGGAAGCCCCGGGGAGAAGAAGGGGCTCAGCCAGTGGCTGAAGGTCCGGGGGTCCCCCAAGCCCCACCCCTGTCTGCCACAGGAATGCCAGAGAGGTGGGTGCTTTTGGCTCCCCCCAAGAAAAGGCAGCCTCTTCGAGCCGCCCAGAAGAGCGTCTCCTTGATTGACTTCTGCACATTATTTCTCGAAGGCTTTTCATGATGGGAAGGGACCAAGCAGCTCCCACCTGGGCCTTTCACGTAACAGCCCCCTTGTCAGAACAGCTCGGGGGGGGGGGGGGCGCCCGGGACGCCCGGGGGGTTTCCCGGGGGGGGGGGGGGCCCTCTCCCCCATTTGTCCGGGGAACAGAAGTTGCCTTGGCAAGTTCTGGGCGCTTCATCCCTGGAGGCTTTCAAGAAGAGGCTGCACTGCCATCTGTCAGGGATGGGGGGTTGGACTAGATGACCTACAAGCCCCCCCCTCGGAAGGGCGGGGGGCTCCGGGCCAGCAAGGGCGGCGGGGCGGCTCTTCCCTCCTTGCGCAACGGGGCGGGAAGGGGGCGACTCGCTCCGGATTGGCCGCCTCGCTCCGCCGCTCGCCTGGGAGACTCCGCGCTGTCCGGCCGCCCGAGCCTTCTCTCGCCGCCGCCGCTGCTGCTCTCGCCCTGGCCGCGTGGGCTCCGTCGGGCGGAGGGGAAGCGGGGACGGCCGCAAAGCGCCTGGCCGGGGAGCTCAGTGGGGCCGCCTCTTCCTCCTCCTCCTCCGCGGCGCCCTGCGAGGTGGGCCGGCCGAGCAGCGTCCCAGCGGCGCCCTCGGGCAGCAGGGAAGCGCCCTCCGGACGGAGCCCAGCGGGGCCCTAGGCATCCCGCCGCTTCTCCTCCCCGGCAGGTCGTGCAGCCCCGCGCCGGCCATGAAGGCTCCCTCGGGCCGAGTCACCCTGAACGTGGGCGGGCTCCGCTACCGCACCTGCCGCGGCACCCTGGCCGCCTTCCCGGGCACCAAGCTGGGCGGGCTGGCCGAGCCCGGGGCGGCGGACCGCTTCGACTTCGACGCCCGCGCCGGCGAGTTCTTCTTCGACCGGAGCGGCCGCCTCTTCGAGCAGGTGCTGCACCTGTGCCGCAGCGGCCACCTGCACGGGCCCGCCGCCTGCCGCGCCGCTCTGCGCGCCGAGCTGGCCTTCTGGGGGCTGACGGAGGCGCGGCTGCCCGCCTGCTGCTGGAGCAAGCTCTGCCCCGGCGACCACGACGACCACGACGAGGCCGAGGAGGAGGAGGAGGGCGGCGGCCCCGGGCGGCGAGAGGACCGGCGCGGCTTGCTGGAGCGGGGCCCGCGCGGGACGGACGGGCGGTGGGAGCGGTGGGCGCGGGCGGCCTGGGCTTTCCTGGAGGAGCCGCGCTCGTCGCCCTGGGCCACGGTGAGCCGTCGGGGGGGGGGCGGGTGGGGTCGGGTGGCCCCCAGCAAAAGAGCAGCCGCCCCGGGCAAAAGAGCGCGGAGGGAGCCGGCGGGGCTCGGCCATACTGGAGGCTCCCTCGGGGCTCCAGCCGCGGTTGAAGGGCCTGGCGGGGTTGCCCAGAAAAGTGGGGGTGGATGGGCTGCCCTTTCCCGGGGTCTCTGGGGGGCGAAAGCGGGGGGGGGGGGGGGGGGGGGGGGGGCTCCCCACCCACCCGGGGGGGGGGCAGCCGGCCAAAGGGGGGGGGGGGAGGGCAGCTTCAGCCCAGGCCCAACGCCTTCAGCCTAGGCTGGCCCTTGTTCGGAGGTGGCCTCAACCCAGGTGCGGAACCTACTCCATCTTCACCTGCCTGACTCTGCAGAGAGAGAGAGAGAGAGAGAGAGAGAGAGGAAGCAGCTGCTCCTGGGGGGGTCTTGGCCTCAAGGGACTCCTAGTCACAATCGTACCTGCCTCACCCTCTTGCCTCACCAGGTGTGCCTCTGTGCACCAGGTGCTCTCCTCCTCCTCCTCCTCTCCTCCTCCTCCTCCTCTGCTGCCCCTGGTCCTGCTCATTCCTTCCCTCTCTCTGATTTGGCCATGGCAATCAAACCCGTCCTGGGCAGGTGGGCGAGCCGATTTAGAAACCTCCCCATAGAAGCAGCCAGAGAAGTTCGAACTCGGCCTGGAGCCGTTGGCTGGGATCTGCTTCCAGGGTCTCCCTAGGAAGAAACCGCATGGCACCCTAGAGGCCTTTCACTGTCATTTAGCCATGAGCATCCTTTAAGTCGGGGGTCTCCAACCTTGGCAACTTTAAGGCTTGTGGACTTC